GTCATCTTTTTACTGGGCAAGGTCATCTTTTTTACTGGGCAAGGTCATTTTTTTCTGGGCAAGGTCATTTTTTTACTGGGCAAGGTCATTTTTTTACTGGGCAAGGTCATTACTTTTTACTGGGCAAGGTCATTTTTTACTGGGCAAGGTCATTTTTTTACTGGGCAAGGTCATTTTTTACTGGGCAAGGTCATTTTTTTCCTGGGCAAGGTCATTTTTTACTGGGCAAGGTCATTTTTTATTGGGCAAGGTCATTACTGGGCAAGGTCATTTTTTTACTGGGCAAGGTCATTTTTTTACTGGGCAAGGTCATTTTTTTACTGGGCAAGGTCATTTTTTTACTGGGCAAGGTCATTTTTTTGGGCAAGGTCATGGGCAACTGGGCAAGGTCATTTTTTTACTGGGCAAGGTCATTTTTTTACTGGGCAAGGTCATTTTTTTACTGGGCAAGGTCATTTTTTTACTGGGCAAGGTCATTTTTTTACTGGGCAAGGTCATTTTTTTACTGGGCAAGGTCATTTTTTTACTGGGCAAGGTCATTTTCTTGCTGGGCAAGGTCATTACTGGGCAAGGTCATTTTTTTACTGGGCAAGGTCATTTTTTACTGGGCAAGGTCATTTTTTACTGGGCAAGGTCATTTTTTTACTGGGCAAGGTCATTTTTTTACTGGGGCAAGGTCATTTTTTTACTGGGCAAGGTCATTTTTTTACTGGGCAAGGTCATTTTTTACTGGGCAAGGTCATTTTTTACTGGGCAAGGTCATTTTTTTACTGGGCAAGGTCATTTTTTTACTGGGCAAGGTCATTTTTTTACTGGGCAAGGTCATTTTTTTACTGGGCAAGGTCATTTTTTTACTGGCAAAGTCATTTTTTACTGGGCTCATTTTTTTACTGGGCTAGGTCATTTTTTACTGGGCAAGGTCGTTTCGTCCAAAGGTGTTTAGGATTTCCGGGCCTAATGGTTAGGGTTTCAAGGTCTCACGGCCTGGTGTTTAGGGTTTCAGGGCCTCAAGGCCTGCTGTTTAGGGTTTCACGGCCTCACGGCCTAGTATTTAGGTTTCAGGGTTTCAGGGCCTCAAGGCCTAGTGTTTAGGGTTTCAGGGCCTCAAGGCCTGGTGTTTAGGGTTTCAAGGCCTCAAGGCCGGGTGTGGCTTGTGTTAAGTGCTTGGTACTACGGCGTGATTAGTGCATCCGAAGAGAAAATAAGTAACCTTCTATTTTCTTAATGTTATGGGATTCTTTGGGCGGGTGGGTTTTTTCCGTTGCCTAGATACACTGCTGGCCTAGTAAATGCTCGAACTTGAGATGCTGAACCCTAAACCCTAAACCCTAAACCCTAAACGAAGTTTTTGGGACTTCTGTGTTTCTTCTGTGATCGGCTCTTCGGGGGAGTGCCGAAATCAAAAGCACAAATGGTCCAGGCACACTTTCTCACGCTTTCACTCAAGCAATGACGTAAGAAGGTCATAGCAAGGTCATACTAATGCAGAGAATTCTCCCCCCCGCTCGCCGTATTTTTCCCTAGGACCCCTAAGATAGGCATAAAGTTGTCATAGGCCATAAGGCTGATCTGACAACTTGAGGAATGATCCAAGAGGCACGCAGTAAGGATCATGCAGCACATTCCTTCTGGCAAGACATCCAGTGTCAGAAATCTGAAATCTGGAAAGTGGAGCCGAAGGTTACGGTTTAGCGCGTAGGGTTTTAGGGTTTAGGGAGACCAGATGCAAAAGAAAGGGGCACTAAAGATCCTTCCATAATTTCGGGGTAACCCTGCGTGCTGGGGGCGGCTTATGATGTCAAGAGTTTTATCTTCAGACGTTGCACCATGGCGACTGAGGGCGACACGGCAGTGGCTGTGGTCTGGACCCTGGTGTCTCGGCTTTCGTGAGAGTTCAGGGTTTAGGATGTAGGGTTAAGTAGGGTGGGCTTTAGGGTTTAGGGTTTGGGGTTTCGTTGGTCAGGAGGCGCCCCAGCCCCAGACTCCGAATCCTAGACGGCTGCATTGTCCTCGTGAGAAACTCTCCCAAAGAGGCGCGAGTCTAAACCATAAACCCTAAACCCCAGACCCTAAACCCTAAACCGGGTTCTTAGGGTTGGGGGTGTACCGCAGGCCGAGAAAGGTTGGCATGGCCAGGTTTCACGGGGTCTGCTGTGAAGGACCTGAAATCAAGCCACTGAAATAGGAAGGGCCCGGCTCAGAGCTCTTTCTCCGCAACCTCCTCCCGTCCTAACTGACACCCTTCGTTGGCACGTAGAGGACTCTTGTGTCTGACTCACGGCAAGTAGATCCATGTCCCTGCCGCACGTCCCCTTGGGATACGCAGATGGGAGCACGAACGCCCCGAAAGGCAGGCAGGCCATTTCTGCAAGCCCCCCAGTGCTGGACCACCCCAGAAGCCCAGGACATGTTGGTTTCCTTCCTCCGCGGCGTGACGGACGGTGGAGCCGTGGACATGCGCCCCAGCTACGTTGCCATGAAGTACGTGAGGACGGGGTGGCCTGTGCCAGGGCATGGCTTGCTCAGCAATGCGGTTTCGCACCTGCAGGAGATTGCCGTAGACCTGCAGGGTTTCTTAACACAACATGAGGCTTTCCATAGAGGCTGCAGCCAAGGCACCTGCTGCAAGGCTGCTTGGGACCCCGAAGCCCCCCGAAGCCCTAAACCTGGAGCCCTTTAGGCGCAGCTCTAGCTTCAGGAAAGGTCCACACTCCCGCTCACCCCCTCTCTCTGTGGCGAAATGGCTTCCTCCCGGATGACGCGCACCATGTGTGATGCGATGAGGCCGATTGGGTCTCTCTCCGCCCGCCAGTTCGCCACGGTGAGTGGGAAGCCACTGCACGGCCAGCGGAAGCCAGCGATGCGAATGACAACCGAGGAAGCTTTTGTGAAGACCTTGCAGATGCACGGGATCAAGAACGCATTCGGCATCATCGGCTCAGCAATGATGCCCATCTCCGACCTGTTCCCTGCTGCAGGCATCAAGTTTTGGGATTGTGCTCACGAGTGCAATGCGGGCATGATGGCGGACGGATACACGAGGACGACCGGGAAGATGTCCATGATGATCGCTCAGAACGGTCCGGGCATCACCAACTTTGTGACCCCCGTGAAGACAGCTTACTGGAACCACACGCCGCTTCTGCTGGTCACCCCACAGGCAGCCAACAAGACGATCGGCCAAGGGGGCTTCCAGGAAGTGGAGCAGCTGGCGATGTTCAAAGACACAGTTTGCTACCAGGAGGAAGTCCGCGACCCGACCCGCATCTGCGAGGTCCTCAATCGCGTCATCGAGAAGGCCTACCACTGCTCGGCCCCAGCGCAGATCAACATCCCCAGAGACTTCTGGACCCAAGTGGTGGACATGTCGTTACCAACCGGGGTGAAGCTCGAGCGCGGTGCCGGGGGTGCTGCCTCGACTAAGGCAGCGGCAAAGATGCTGGCAGAGGCCAAGTTCCCAGTGATCCTGAACGGCGCCGGAGTCATCCTGGCCGGAGCTGTGGATGCCTCGGTGAAGCTTGCGGAGCGTCTTTCGGCGCCTGTGTGCTGCAACTATCAGCACAACGACGCCTTCCCAGGCGACCATCCTCTGCACATGGGACCACTGGGCTACAACGGCTCGAAGGCTGCCATGGAAGCCATCTCCAAGGCAGACGTGGTCCTGGCGCTGGGCACGAGGCTGAATCCCTTCTCCACCCTGCCGTGCTACGGCATGGAGTACTGGCCAAAAGATGCCAAGCTCATCCAGGTGGACATCAACAGCGATCGCATTGGCCTCACCAAGCCGGTAGATGTCGGCATCCAGGGCGATGCAGGCTTAGTTGCCGAAGCTCTCTTGGCCGCGCTGCCGCCTTCCGCTGGTGATGCAGGGCGCACGGAGCGACTCAAGCTGGTGGAGGAGAAGAAAGAAGCCTGGGGCAAGGAGCTTGAAGGCATGGACCACGAGTTGGATGACGAGGGCACGACGTGGAACAAGCGTGCACGGGCAGCGCAGCCCAACCGTCTCTCGCCGCGGCAGGCGTGGCGCGCAATCATGCGGGTGATGCCCAAGGAGGCCATCATGTCGTCGGACATCGGCAACAACTGCGCCATCGGCAATGCCTATCCATCCTTTCCCTCACCGCGGAAGTACCTGGCGCCGGGTCTCTTCGGGCCTTGCGGATACGGCTTTCCCTCCATCCTCGGCGCGAAGGTGGGGAACCCCTCTGTTCCAGTGGTTGGCTTTGCGGGCGACGGTGCCTTTGGCATCTCTGTCAACGAGCTGACTGCCTGTGGGCGGGGTGACTGGCCGGGCGTGACCATGGTAGTCTTCCGCAATTACCAGTGGGGCGCAGAGAAGCGAAACACAACGTTGTGGTACCAAGACAACTTCGTGGGCACCGAACTCAACGCAGGCGTCGAGTATGCGCAGATGGCAATCGCCTGTGGATTGAAGGGCATCAAAGCAGAGAGCGTCGAAGAGCTGGAGAAGGCCGTGACCTCTGCCATCGAGGGGCAGATGCAGCGGAATGAGACGACCCTGATCGAAGTCGTCCTCAACCAGGAGCTTGGCGAGCCCTTCCGCCGTGATGCGATGAAGCCACCCGTAGAGATTGCCAAGATCCATGCTAGTGACATGTGCGAGTGAGCTGCTGTGTGGATACATCCATGGGGCTACATGGGCTCGCTATTTTCGGCCGAGGGGCCGTGAGTAGCGGAATTAGGGTGTCCGAGTGAGATCCAGACTCTAAGATATTCTGAGATTCCTTGATGCCTCGGAACGAATTTTGAGCTTTACAGAGCTTTTGCCTGCAGCCCGGCTTGAAAGATCGTGCAGCACCGGCGCCCAAACTCCAAACCCCAAACCCTTGACCTCGAGGCAACATGAAAACCCTCAACCTCCCTCAACCCTTCAAGAAGTGCTGAGGGGGGATGAGGAGCTGGATGAGGACTGCCACGACTGCCACTGCAGAGCCTGGGACATGTTCCCAATGAGTCCATGGTCGCAAAGACGACGTGCCATGGCCTCGATTCCAGCACACGAGTGGCCGAGACAAAAGAAACAACGAGCCCAGCCTACAACAGACCCTGAACCTCAAGCCTTGGACCTTTGGTGCAAGATGCCACACCGCGGAAGGAAGCTGATGCAAGCCACCGCCCATACAGTAGCTCTTAGCGCCATGCGCAGATCGACTCTTGCGGTCCTTTCACATGGGAGAGCCGTAGACTCGACTCGTGCTGTGTAAAGCCGAGCTAGCTCGTCAATATCCGGATCCTTTGAACGTCTAAAAACCGGTGAAATGACCCGATCGGCTAACAGCCCTTAATAATTAGGGACATCGTGCCCCCTAGTATAATCCCTGTTAAGGACTGTTAGTTTAAGGGGGAACATCCCAACTTATAGGGCGCTTCAATCCCAACTGGTTCAAAGGTCCTGTTTTTTGCCCTGAGCCCGACACCCCAAAACCCAAACCGCCCCCACCTCTGGGTGGCTTCGGACAGGACCTGGTTCTTCGTGGACCTCTCCGTGGTGACCACCGACGCCTTGCCACAACTTGCATTCAACCTTTAGGGTTTAGGGTTCAGGGTTTAGGGTTTAGGGTTTAGGGGCTCCCGAAGCCCTTCAACCCCTTAGTGGCTGAGTGAGCACGCTTTACACTTTTTGGGATACGAGAAATCCCCTGTAGAACTGAAAGTGCACACTTTTTTTCGGGGGGGCTTATGAACTCAGTAACTAAGAAATCCTAAACCCTAAACCCTAAGCCCTAAGCCCTAAGCCCTAAACCCTAAACCCTAAACCCTAAACCCTAAACCCTAAACCCTAAACCCGAAGAAACGCCCTAAATCAACCCCCAGCCCTAATCCCGAGACGAAGGGGGCTTCGAAGGCTTCCAGGGTGAGGACGAAGGGGGTTTTGAAGGCTTCGAAGGGGAGGACGAACCCGCCCTAAACCCTAAACCCTAACCCTAAACCCTAACCCTAAACCCTAAACCCGAAACCCTAAACCCGAAACCCTAAACCCTAAACCCTAAACCCAAATCCCGAAACCCTTGTTCTAGTAATATAGGGGTCGGAGTAAGTACTATGGTATCCCCTTCTGGTCCCTTTTATAGTTACGTATACTACCACAAGCCCCCAAACCCTATTCAATTTTTCAGGCCCCTCTATTACATTCTGGTCTATCCCTCCCCCATTCTTCAGGGTTAAGGGTTTAGGGCTGGTGGTCACAACTCATATGTGTTCAAAAAGGGCAGGGTTTATCACGTGTCCTGTGATGGCCCAGCCCCAGCTTTGCAAGCTGGGAGTTTTCGGGCTTGGAGCACGTGAACCACCCTCCCTCACCCCCCCCCCCCCTCCCACCCTACAGTCAACCCGAAGCATCGAAAACCCCAAACCGCAACCCGAAACCCTAAACCCTGGAGCCCACCCCCGCCCTGGTCCCAAGGACTGGATCCTCCTGGCGTCGAACAACATGGAAGACATGGAGGTTCTGCAGGTATTGAGGCGCCACTGGTACCTAGTTGTAGAGTAGGCAACCTTTAACCTTGTTTGGATCCCCTATCAGGTGCCCAGACCACTCCCGCGGGTTTCCCACCTGATTTCTGAGATCTAATTCATTTAAGCCAGTCTCACGCCTGACGCTCGGGACTCGCTTGTGCACACGTCGCGCTTTAACCTGTTTGGGGTAACAGAACACCCTTATATTCCCTTAGTCGTAGAGTAGGTAACGTTTAACCTTTTTTTTGGGTATTCTAATCCCAACAAAATACCTAGAGGTTAACCTTTAATTCTCCCCAGGTTGCTGGACAACTAAGACTGAGGGTACCTAGTAGTAGAGTAGGTAACCTTTAACCTTTGGGGTAACAGAACCCCCGTATATTCCCAAAGGTTCACCTTTAGTTCCCCTAATTGCTGGACAACTAGGTGGTAGATTTGAGGAGCAGAAGGCTCCAGTAGCTCAGGGTGGTTTTCGTTGCTGGGGTTGCTTTCTGGCTGGAAGATGGCCTCAGAGGGTGCAATGTCGACCCTAAACCCTGAACCCTGAACCCTGAACCCTAAACCCTAAACCCTAAACCCTAAAGCCCCTCATTTTTGCCCACATTTGAGCCGGGTTTAGGGTTTAGGGTTTAGGGTTTCCCGAACTGCATCAGCTTGAGCTGCAAGGGGCCGCATCGTCCTTCGTGACTGAGCTGCAACAGGTGTGTGGGACATCCTCGGGGGGGGGCATCTGGTAAAGCCCTAAACCCTAAACCCTAAACCTTAAACCCTAAACCCTAAACCCCAAACCCTAAACCCCAAAACCCCAAAACCCCAAAACACCAAAACCCCAAACGCCCCAAAACCCCAAACCCCAAACCCGCACATTCGAGGTCATAGCTTGCAGCAGAAACCCAGCCATGCTTAGAGTTGTGAGAATCTAGGGGCCCTGAATCTAAAGCCTGCTGCAAAAGGGTTTAGGGTTTAGGGTTTAGGACTTCAAGAAGGCTTGCAGTTTCCCTTGGTAGCGCACCCTGTCTGTTTAGGGTTTAGGGTTTAGGGTTTAGGGTTTAGGGTTTAGGGTTTAGGGTTTAGGGTTTAGGGTTTAGGGTTTAGGGTTTAGGGTTTAGGGTTTAGGGTTTAGGGTTTAGGGTTTAGGGTTTAGGGCGCGAAACTGCCCCTCGAAACCTCAACTTGCGACCCGTCCTAAACCCTGCACCTTGAGAACCCCTCCTAAACCTTACACCAGCGAGGCTGATGGAACAGCCCTGGTCCCCAAACCCCTCAAAACCCCAAACCGTGAACCCTAAACCCTAAACCCTAAACCCTAAACGCCCTAAACCCTAAACCCTAAACCCTAAACCCCCAAACCTGTAAACCTTAAACCCTAAACCCTATACCCCGAGGCCTGGTCCGCGTTCTGCGCTTGGTACGGCTGCTCAAGGCCGCGCCCTAAACCACAAGCCCTATTGAAGCCCGAAACCCTAAGCCCCAAGTCCTAAGGGTTTAGGGTTTAGGGTTTAGGGTTTAGGGTTTCCTTAAGTTTTTCAGCTATGATCTAAGCCCTAAGCCCTAAGTGCAAAAAAAGAGTGTTGAAATACCCTACCACTTAGGAACCTTCCCTCCAAGAAGCTGGCTGTATAAGGAATTCCATGTGGGGCGGGGGGGGGGTAGGCGGGGGTAGGGGGTAGGGGGGGGGTAGGGGTAGGGGGGGTAGGGGGGGTAGGGGGGGGTAGGTAGGTAAGGGGGGGGGATGCCTGGAGGTTCATGGCACTTACTAAGCAAGTAGTAACTGCACCGCCTCTAACCCAAGAACAGGTGGTTGTCCCCAAACCTTCGGGGGATGAACCCCAAAACCCTACAGGCTCGACCCTAAACCCTAAAGGCTAGGGTTTAGGGGTTAGGGTTTAGGGTTCAGGGCTTAGGGCTTAGGGCTTAGGGCTTAGGGTTTAGGGTTTAGGGTTTAGGGTTTAGGGTTGAGGGTTGAGGGTTTAGGGTTTAGGGTTTAGGGCAAACCCTAAACCCGAAACCCTCTGCTTTTCTTTCTTGGTAGCCCAGTGGTACCCTTGTCCCTTTTTTTTCAAGGTTCCCTTATAAAGGAACCGACCCCAAAAAGGGTGCCCTGGATATGATATGGTTACTGGGCTACTGAGAATTTGGGTTTAGGGTTTAGGGTTTAGGGTTTAGAGTGTAGAAAGAAACCCTCAACTTGAGCCTTCTTGAGAGTGGGGGGACTCAACTTCACGGATCCTGCACAGGTTTAGGGTTTCGGCGGTTTAGGGTTTAGGGTTTAGGGTTTAGGGCAAGCCTGACGCAGGGGCGGCGCTTAAGCCCCTCCACCTCGATAACCCAAGCCGACCAGGTCGCTCGCCCACCTCCCACAGCTCGGGGGTCGGTAGCACCCACGATGGGCCCGATACCTTTTCGCGACCAGTACCGGTCCCCTCAAATTAGCCTTGTTCCTGGGCGTGGCTGGCCTTTTGGAGGGGGTACCCCGGCCCCCAGGCCAGGAGGACCCGGACCCTCGCCGCACCCCCACCCCCCCTTGGCCCGCCTGCCTGGCCCTGGCCTTCTGTCCCCCCTCCTACCCGAACCCCCCCGACCCCTTAGACCCAACCCCGAACGTCATGAAACTGAATTAGTTTTTGAAGTGTACTGTTGCCTTGAGTTTAGGCCTAAGCCCTAAAAGGAATAGGTTTGGGTGGCTTTGCCGCCTCGGACGGCGCGGGGTGGGAGAAAAGTGTTAGATGGCCCTCCACAATCGGGCCAAAGCTGCTCTTCGCACCTCACGAAGCTTTCGAGCTTGTTCCGAAACCTAACCTTCACAGCACCTACGCCCTATCACAGCAAACCCTAGACCCTAAACCCTAAACCCTAAACCCTAAACCCTAAACCCTAAACCCTAAACCCTAAACCCTAAACCCTAAATCCTTGCCGCAGGTGGCGGACCGTCCTTCCATCCTCAGGCTCGAAAGTTTTGGGGGTTTAGGGTTTAGGGTGTAGGGGGGAGGGGTTAAGGGTTTAGGGGTTTAGGGGGTTAGGGGGTTTGGGGTTGAGGGTTAAATTGAGGGGTTAGGGTTTAGGGGATTAGAGGGGGTTTAGTGTTTAGGGGTTTAGGGGGCTAGGGGGTTTAGGGTTAGGGTTGAGTGGGTTTAGGGTTTAGATTCGGGGGGGCTTGGGGTTGAGGATTTAGGTGGGGGGGGGGGGTTAGGGTTAGGGTTTTCGGCTGAAGGAAAAACTAATGCGCTGAAAGTTGGGTGGGAGGTGGGGTTATGCGGACGAGGACTTTCAGCATCGGGGTTTTGAGCTCAGGGCTTGGCGGGGACTTTTCGTCTGGGGTGTCAAACCCTAAACCCTAAACCCTAAACCCTAAACCCTAAACCCTAAACCCTAAACCCTAAACCCTAAACCCTAAACCCTAAACCCTAAACCCTAAACCCTAAACCCTAAACCCTTGGCCCTAGAGTTGATTGCCTTTGTGCACATGGCCGGGGCGGGTGACGTCTTGAATGTGAGCCCAGTTTCCCGAAGCCCTGCAAGGAGGGGCCCCCTTACTATACTAACTGTAGCTAAGGGGACTTATAACCTAATTTAGGATCCGTATAGCCCAATTAAGGGTCCTTATAACTCTACTTATAACTAGGGGGCCCCTCCTTGTATGTCCTGAAAGCTTCTTCAGATTGACCAATCTAGAAATTTTGCGGAGTTCGGAGGCTTTAGGTTCCCATCTAGGCCCCTTTCAGCAAAACAGGCAGCCTTTTTAATCCGAGGTTGCTGGGCAACCTAGAAAGAAAGGAAAGAAGGGCACAAGGGTTTGCCCTAAACCCTAAACCCTAAATCCTAAACCCTAAACCCTGAACCCTAAACCCTAAACCCTAAACCCTGAACCCTGAACCCTGAACCCTGAACCCTAAATGATTAGATCAAGACCCAGGCTGAAGGAGCTCATCCTCAGTGACCAAAACAAGGCCGGCTGCTGGTTCGTCTGTCTTTGGTTTAGGGTTTGGGGTTTGGGGTTTAGGGTTTAGGGTTTAGGGTTCAGGGTTTAGGGTTTTGGAATTTTGGGTTTTGGGTTTTGGGGTTTGGTTCGTCTGCAGGATGTTAGCTTACAGTAAACTCCAGAAAGTTGGATCATTGTTTAAGGGTGATTAGGGTGGGATCCCCTTTAGTAAGCCTTTGAGGTGTGGGAATGAGGATGTTCTAACTTTTTGGGGTTTACTGAAGGGAATGAGGGGATGAGGTACCCCTATATAATCCCTTAGAGACTTAAAGGGTACATATAGCTGGATATAGGGTACCTAGTTCCCTGTTTTCCCTACTGGGCACCAGTAGGAGACATGGTCAAGGGGGGGGTGTAGGGTTGAGGTGTGAGATCCGGGACCGGCTGTCAAGTTCATGCACATGCACGGGTGCGATGATAGGACGCTCTTTGAGGTATCCATTAAGGTTTAGGGTTTAGGGTTTAGGGTTTAGGGTTTAGGGTTTAGGGTTTAGGGTTGTACCTTCAAGAGATCATGGCAGCAGAAATCCGTAGGCGTTTGTGCCAAAGCGCCGGGTCCCCTCGATTGGCAGCGTCAGTGGAAATGGTGCGGCCTGACGTGATGTTGCCATGCAGCGGGCATGGGCAGACGATTCGGAAGGAAGAAGATTACCTCGACGAGCAGAGCACCGGCTACTCCGACTCGCCGCCATCAAGCATCAGCTTCGATGAGGAGCTTGAGGACCAGTTCCTTAAGAACGCCTCACCCCCAAAAAAAAGATATTCTTCCTTATAAGAATAATGTAGGGATTCGTTAAGAATATTTTTTGGGGGGTTCTTAAGCAAATAGTATTTGAGGAGGAAGTGGTGGAGGAGGAGGCTGTGAAGGCTGTGAACTCCAAGATGGCCAGCCCGAGCCTGACCAAGGAACAGGCCGTCGAGGTGCAGATGGAGTTGATGGCCCAATACGGTGCGCCGACCTTTCAGAACCAGCTCCATGCACTTGGGCGCACACACGAGCCCGGCAGCAGCAAATTTCGGTCGGGGCTCTGCAAGATGGTGCGTCGTGTCCAGCTGGACGTCATTCCGAGGTACGGCTTCAGCGCATCTGATGAAGGAGTCGAAAGCATGCTTGTCCTCTTCCGATCGCTGGCGAAGGATCCCGACATTGAGGTCAATGGTGTGGTCATCAATGACATGCTGCAGATGAAAGTTGCGCCCATGGAGACGAACCACAACAACAGGATCATCGAGAAACCTTTGTCCAAGCATCGAATCCTAGACATGCTGCGTTGCCAACTCGTCGAGTTCAGCCAAGTCAAGTTCCAGACGGACGTGGAGGAGCTGAAGAAGTGTGCCGACTACAACTCCGGCCGCGTTTTCAACTTAGCCAAGCCACTGGAGCGAGCCTTTGAAGACCCGGAGGGTTATTTCCATCTCGAAGGCCGGGCAGACCTGGCTCTCAGGGTTCAAAAACTCCTGCTGCCTCGGTATGGGTTCGAACCCTCCAAGGAAGGCGTGCAGGACATGATCCGTCACTGTGCTCCTTTCGTGCAGGACCCTGAGGTGGCGAATCTCCTAGACCGCGTGAACGAGAAGCTGGGCATGTCGGCCGCAGCCTGCCAACGATTCCGGAAACACATCGCGCACCTGAAATGAGTTTGTTTGGGCTCGAAACTTGCCAGAATCCGAGACTCCGGAGGAGGCTTGCTCAGTCCCCGACTGACGGTCCCTGTGTACAGTTTTCAGACGAAGGACAGCACGTTCCAAGCCCGGAGAGGCATGTTGAACTTGGCAACATGTTGTTTCTTGCAAAGAGATACCGGGGTTTTCCAGCGATTGAATCTACGAGAAAAGCTTCTCAGCAGGATGGCTTGTGCACTTCCTCATCTTCCTGCCGGTCATGCAGCCCGCGAAGGGTGTAAGTTTTCCATCCTACATGGTTGGGGCGGGTGTAGTTGTGCTGGCGTTCGGACCGGTTGTGTCACCGTGTTTTCAGAGTATCTGCAAGTGCAGCAAGCCCATGAAGGGCGTGCACATTGAGTGCCACGACATATTCCTCAAAGTTTTTCCAATTCCTTGCGAGGCAGGTCAGATCATTTCAATCTGTGCTGATCTGTGTATATACTTCCCGACTGATGGTCCCTGTTTGTATGTGAAGGAAGCCCGGTGAAAACGCAAACCTGGAGAAGCGTTTTGAACCTGGCAATGGCCTGAGATCTTGCAGAGTGATGCCGGGTTGTCCAGAGAACCAGAAGTGCGAGAGAACGCTTCTCAGTTGGACGGCTTCCGGCTATGCTCATTTTCTTGCCGGCCATGGGTCCCGCCCAGGGTGCATCTGAGGTCGGGAAGCAGACAGGCGAGTTCTAGTCGAGTGATGCAGGGGCCGATGGAAGCAGAGTGGGTGCTTGGGTGACTCTACCTTGAGGCCTGGGACTATTTACCTACAGTTTAGTTGTACCCCTTAATTAGAAGGTAGGACCCATGACACTGTAGGTAAAGAGAGTCCCAGGCAAACCCTAAACCCTAAACCCTAACCCCTAACCCCCAAACCCTAAACCCTAAACCCTAACCCCTAACCCCTAAACCCTAAACCCTAACCCTTAAACCCTAAACCCTAAACCCTAAACCCTAAACCCTAAACCCTAAACCCTAAACCTATGTGCAGAAGGGGACGGCGTTTGCGAGTTTTCCGGCTCCTGCATTAGAACCAGCTGCGGCAGTGCGAAGGCAAGACCGAGGGGTCCCAGGGCTGCCCATTCAGGCTCGTTTAGGGTTTAGGGTTTAGGGTTTCGGGTTTGGGGTTTAGGGTTTGGGGTTTGGGGTTTGGGGTTTAGGGTTTAGGGTTTAGGGTTGTTGGGTTTGGGGTTTGGGTTTGGGGTTTGGGGTTTGGGGTTTGGGGTTTGGGGTTTGGGGTTTGGGGTTTGGGGTTTGGGGTTTGGGGTTTGGGGTTTGGGGTTTGAGGTTGGGGTTTGGGGTTTGGGGTTTGGGGGTTGGGGTTTGGGGTTTGGGGTTTGGGCTTAGGGCTTAGGGCTTAGGGTTTAGGGTGTACGTTTAGGCTTGCGCTTTAGAGTTCAGGGCCAGTTTTCCGGCGACGCCCTCAGTCCGGCTGCAAAACTAGGGTTTAGGGTCGACACTCAGTGCGTGAACATGCACGGACGCAGTGATAGGACGCTCTTTGAGGTAGCAATTGATAGCTCCTTGTACCTTCAAGAGATCATGGCAGCAGAAATCCGCAGGCATTTGTGCCCAAGCGCCGGGTCCCCTCGATTGGCAGCGTCAGTGGAAATGGTGCGGCCTCACGTGATGTTGCCATGCAGCGTGCATGGGCAGACGATTCGGAAGGAAGAAGATGACCTCGACGAGCGGAGCACGCGCTACTCCTACTCCCCGCAGTCAAGCATCAGCTTCGATGAGGAGCTTGAGGAGGAGTTGCTTAAGAACCCCCCCTCCAAAAAAAACATATTCTTCCTTACAAGAATAATGTAGGGATTCGTTAAAAATATTTTTTGGGGGGTTCTTAAGCAAATAGTATTTGAGGAGGAAGTGGTGGAGGAGGAGGCTGTGAAGGCTGTGAACTCCAAGATGGCAAGCCCGAGCCTGACCAAGGAACGGGCCGTGGAGCTACAGATGGAGTTGATGGCCCAATACGGTGCGCCGACCTTTCAGAACCAGCTCCATGCACTTGGGCGCACACACGAGCCCGGCAGCAGCAAATTTCGGTCGGGGCTCTGCAAGATGGTGCGTCGTGTCCAGCTGGACGTCATCCCGAGGTACGGCTTCAGCGCATCTGATGAAGGAGTCGAGAGCATGCTTGTCCTCTTCCGATCGCTGGCGAAGGATCCCGACATTGAGGTCAATGGTGTGGTCATCAATGACATGCTGCAGATGAAAGTTGCGCCCATGGAGACGAACCACAACAACAGGATCGTCGAGAAACCTTTGTCCAAGTATCGTCTCCTAGACATGCTGCGTTGCCAACTCATCGAGTTCAGCCAAGTCAAGTTCCAGACGGACGTGGAGGAGCTGAAGAAGTGTGCCGACTACAACTCCGGCCGCGTCTTCGACCCAGCCAAGCCACTGGAGCGAGCCTTTGAAGACCCGGAGGGTTATTTCCATCTCGAAGGCCGGGCAGACCTGGCTCTCAGGGTTCACAAACTCCTGCTGCCTCGGTATGGGTTCGAACCCTCCAAGGAAGGCGTGCAGGACATGATCCGTCACTGTGCTCCTTTCGTGCAGGACCCTGAGGTGGCGAATCTCCTGGACCGCGTGAACGAGAAACTGGGCATGTCGGCCGCAGCCTGCCGACGCTTCAGGCAACTCATCGCGCACCTGAAATGAGTTTGTTCGGGCTCGAAACTTGCCAGAATCCGGAGGAGGCTTGCTCAGTCCCCGACTGACGGTCCCTGTGTACAGTTTTCAGACGACGGAAGCACGTTCCAAGCCCGGAGAGGCATGTTGAACTTGGCAACATGTTGTGTCTTGCACAGAGATACGGGGTTTTTCCAGCGATTGGATGTACGAGAAAAGCTTCTCAGCAGGACGGCTCCCGCATTTCCTCATCTTCCTGCCGGTCATGCAGCCCGCGAAGGGTGTAAGTTTTCCATCTCACATGGTTGGTTCGGGTGTAGTTGTGATGTCGTTCGGACCGGTTGTGTCACCGTGTTTTCTAAGTATCAGGAAGTGCAGCAAACCCATCAAGGGCGCACACATTGGGTGCTGCAACATATTCCTAAATTTTTCCCACTCCTTCCGAGGCAGGTCAGATCAATTCAATTTGTGCTGATCTGTGTTTTTCTTCCCGACTGATGGTCCCTGTTTATAGGTGAAGGAAGCACGGTGCAAACGCAAACCCGGAGAAGCGTTTTGAATCTGAGATCTTGCAAAGTGATGCCGGGTTTTCCAGAGAACTAGAAGTACGAGAGAACGCTTCTCAGTTGGACGGCTTCCGGCTATGCTCATTTTCCTGCCGGCCATGGGTCCCGCCCAGGCGTTTAAGTCGTGCCTGCGGATCGCACCCATGGACCGGTTGTGTATCAGAGGTCGGGAAGAAGGCAGGCGAGTGTAGTCGAGTAATGCAGGGGCCGATGGAAGCAGGATGTGCTTGGGTGACTTTATCTTGTGTACTTCTCCTGGAGGACCCCTAAACCCTAAACCCTAAACCCTAAACCCTAAACCCTAAACCCTAAACCCTAAACCCTAAACCCTAAACCTATTGGGGGTACAGAAGGGGACGGCGCCTTGGCGAGTATTTCGGCTCCTGCATTGGACCCAGCTGCGGCGGCGCGAAGGGTAAAACGAAGAGCCCTGGGGCTGCCATTGCGGCCTCTGAGGCCATGTTCCAGCCAGAAGGGCCCAAACCCCTAAACCCTAAACCCTAAACCCTAAACCCTAAACCCTAAACCCTAAACCCTAAACCCTAAACCCTAAACCCTAAACCCTAAACCCTAAACCCTAAACAGCAACTTCACATTGAGACATGATGAGACAGGCCGTCAGCAGTGTTCTCCAGCTCCTCTTCGTGGTGATCATGATCAACCACTACGTAGGCTGGGGGTGCTAGGGCTGGTCTTCTGTAGGGTTTAGGGTTTAGGGTTTAGGGTTTAGGGTTTAGGGTTTAGGGTTCCGGAAAGTCCGACAGTTCAGGGTTTACGGTCCCCAAGCCCGAACCCCAAGGGTTGAGAGCCTGTTGCAAAGCTGGCGCGAGAGTTTTTTTCTTGAGGGAGCTTGAGACTGGAGGTCAGACACGCTCTTGGTGCCCCCTCCCTCCTCCCCCCCAAAGGGGGGAACATGAAGTTCTGAACTAAAGCTTCGAGGGGTTCAGGTTTACAGGGGTTGTAAACCCTAAGCCCTAAGCCCGCGCGAGTGCGAGAGTCGAAACCCCTAAATTCCAAACCCTGGAACCCTAAACCCGAAACCCTCCAAAAAGCGCTCCAGGCCAAGTATCCCTAAACCCTAAAACCGAAACCCGAAACCCGGAACCCGAAACCCTAAACCCTAAACCCTAAACCCCAAAATGTTCCTTGAAGCCGACCCAGGCTGCGGCTGGTTCGCGATCGGGCAGGCAAGGGGCCACGGTGAAGTGGGTGAGACGCGTTGGGGTTTCTTCTGGCTTAGGGACCCTTTTAGGGTTTAGGGTTTAGGGCTTAGGGTTTAGGGTTTAGGGTTTAGGGCTTAGGGTTTAGGGTTTAGGGTTAGGGTTTAGGCCTCCCGGCAGAACTCGAGGTGCAGGGCTTTGAGAAGAACTGGATCGCCGAGTATCTCAGCTACGAGGCTCGCGGCATGGGGATTTTCGGGTAAACCCTAAACCCTAAACCCTAAACCCTAAACCCTAAACCCTAAACCCTAAACCCTAAACGGCCCTAAACCCTGGTGCTCCCTGGCATGGTCAGGATGAGCAACATGTGCTCGCCCAGTATCTCACAAGTGCCCTCGGCTGCATTTTCGGATTTTCGGGTTTAGGGTTTAGGGTTTAGGGATGTTCCCCCCTTATACTAAGACAGTCCTTAGCAGGGATGTTAGCACCACCGATTATAATCCTTGTGAAGGACTGTTGGTATAAGGGGGAACATCCCAGTTATCAGGTTCAGTTTACGGGGCAGCTACCCCAACACCAACAGCCCTCAAGTCTTAAATCAACCCTAAACCCTAAACCCTAA